TTCTAAGCACCAGTAAGGAAGTAAGAATCCCCATCGCTGGAGCACTACAGGCCTAACTTATTATTCGATATAATGAGAAGGACCTTTATTGAACTAGAACCCTTATCCCCCAACTGATCTACCCAGTAATGTGATGAGTTCCGACCTCGAAGGCCCAATCCTTCGTCGTACGGAATGAGTATGACTTGGCTACAAGGGAAAGAATTAATCCAAGAGATCTAGCTTCTTGGAGGACCGGTTGTTAGCCCCATCATCATCCCGAGCTTTTCACCGTCGGTCCCATGACTGCACGAGCCCTATGAACTAGCTCTTCCGTGTCCGCCGAACTGTACGATGGAGGGCGTTCAATTCTAGTATTGAATTTTCCCAAGCGGGTGAGCACTGTTAATGTCTCTAGTAGATAGACTCTACAAGGAACCTGGCTCAGAGGAAGAAGGACATTAGTTTGAAGTCTCGAGTCTCTATCCCCTCTCTAGTGCTGCTTAAAAGGACCGGGTTCCCTACTACCGTGTCATGGCGATATCTGCCTCGAAACCCTCGGCTTGCCTCGTCTCCTAGTGGTGGTTTCCCGTGGAGCGACCGTGAGTCAGGTTCAGGTGGGAGATAGTACCTCTCCTTCCTCTGCCGGTATTGATGGTACTGGATATGACGGAAATTGTAAAGTGAACTTGAACTCCCGTTTTGGAGTTTCTTAGAGTGATGTTCGAGATCGCCTCTGTGTGGTTCACCCTAAGTAGCTAACCGAATCGGAACTGACTGAAAGGACTGCAAAGAGGATATAACTGTTTAGAGCCAGAACACTAGATGGAGAATAGGCTGCAAGAAAATAGGTTATTGTCTCTTTGAAGAGTATCATCCATGGCGAATGGTATCGTATATAAGAGAAGGGCCGCGCTTGCATGCCTTGTGGAGTGGAAAAGTAGACTGAAAATTGTGTATGTATATAAAGAGTCTTACCTTTTTTCAAAAAGAAGAGTCACGCTCTTTAAAAGCCCCTATTCGACGATGACTGAAGCCTATCTTCTTTAATAAGGGCTTTTTTAGGTATACCGCTCTCCCATGAAGAAGAGAGCCTATGATATCTTTGGTCTTTTTCCCATGCTTTCTGTTGGTCAACAACCAAGCACATCTCACTATAGTTCTTCACTACTCCGTGCAGGAAAGACTCTCTTTCTGTCTGTATGGAGGGAATTTTTTTTTGATCAATCAATCACTATGTTTCCACTCAATTTTCATTACGAAGATGTATCACGTCAGGATCCGTTGCTCAAACTGAATCACGCCAACGTTATGGAAGTTCCTGGATCGTGTCAAATAAGAGTAGTACCAAAGGCACCCTATGATTTCATAATAAAAAATGGAAAATTGGCTATGGAGATTCCGCGCGGTCAGAAATTCATACAGACAAAAAGGGGTTCGACAGGAAAGTCGTTTCGATCCAATCCATTCTTGGGGTCAAAGAAAGACAAAGGATATGTCAGTGACCTAGCACGACAAAGCACTCTCCGAGGGCATGGAATGTCTAATTTTTCGGTCAGAATCTCGACAGTAATGTCTCTTTTAGATTCTCCGGTCGAAATACGGGAAAACTCCATTCAATTCTCGATGGAAACGGAGTTTTGCGAATTCTCCCCGGAACTGGAAGATCATTTCGAGATCTTCGAACATATTCGAGGGTTCAATGTGACTATTGTCACTTCGGCCAACACACAAGATGAGACTTTACCACCGTGGAGCGGCTTTTTGCAAAAAGATGAGGGAGAAACTCAGTAAGAGATGTCGGAGAAGCGAAATATACGAGATCACAAACGTAGATTGCTCGCGGCTAAATATGAATTGAGACGAAAGCTTTATAAAGCCTTTTGTAAAGATTCCGATCTTCCTAGTGATATGCGGGACAAACTTCGTTATAAGTTGTCCAAGTTGCCAAGAAAGAGTTCCTTTGCACGAGTAAGAAACCGATGTATTTCCACGGGTCGCCCTCGTTCCGTATATGAGTTCTTTCGAATTTCTCGTATCGTTTTTCGTGGATTAGCATCTCGAGGTCCTTTGATGGGCATAAAGAAATCGTCTTGGTAGCAACCGCCAAACCAATAGAACAAGGGTTAGCTCTGCAGCTGGTCCACAGTAAGTAGGTCCATTACCGGCCGGCTCCTAAGCTAGAAAAGACCTAACGGAGTAATCCCTTATCTCGGATCGGAGATGCTAACGGGGCAGGAATCGAAGTGGGGGACCTCTCTACCGCCTGTGTCTATCTCCTGTCAAGTATGCTCCCCAGACATAGACTACGTACAGGGTAGTACTCTTGGATATAAGATCACCGCGTGAACATAACATTAAGTTACGAATGTAACTCCCGAGGGATCGACCACTATTCTAACTAAATAAAGTCAGGCGGAGAACTGTTGTTCATTGGAGCGCCGGAGTGCGGAGGTTGTTCCCATCATTGAAGTCAGAGTGTGGGACTGAGCCTTCCGAATGATAAAGAAAAAAAAGTGCTTAGTTTCGTTGGAAAAACCAACGCAAATATCATATTGACTTTATCTCGCCCAACTTCTAAGGATAGATAGAAAAGGTTGGAGAGAGTGACTTTCTGAACTGAAATTCTCTCCTTTCTAAAGCTGCGCAAGGCGGCCCCACCCCCAGAACAAAGCCCCACCCCTCTTTTCCCCCCTTTAATGAAAGACCCTCGCCCGCCCCGCTTCCTATTCATTTTTTGGTCGGGACCGAGGGCCTTTTTTTTTTATCAAGAGGTGATTTCGAGAATCAACCGGCAAATCCGTAGCCCAGGTGACTCACAGCCTCCCTCTCGCCCAAATTAAATGGGATGAATCAAATAAAAAAAAAGAAGCTTTTTGATTGATTCAGGGCGCAGCGAAAGAAAATTCTTTCAAGGCAAAAGGGGGGGCTTACTTACTTGACTTTTCCTGACGCTGAGTCATCCTATTCTTAGCTATGCTAATCGAAGAGGAAAAGTTTTCAGATGATATGGACCCCCAAGAGATGGACGAGAACCTCCAATTGCTTAGGGGTCGCACTCTAAAAAAACCCGCTTGGTGGACGAAATCTTCTCTCCTTTTAGACTTCTTTCTCCCACACACCTTTGCCCTCTTTCACCGAAGAGGAAAGAAGAATCTTCCAAGCGGACAGAGACCTAAATTTCCATTAGATTCATTCCTAAGCTTGCTTTGTTGCAGTAAGATGATCAGTCCGAGAGTGCTGGAGAGAAGAGAAAGCGGTAAAAACCCCTCTGATTCGGTCACCGAGCAGTCGGACGACTCTTCAGTAACCCAGGATGGGACGACCCCTTGCTCGCTTCTTTCGCTGTATACCCCCTCCATCCTTCGGAGGTGGAAGAAAGAAAGGCTACTTTATATAATAAATTATTTATTATATAAATTATAAGTAGGGCCCCAGAACGAAAACAATGTGGGGGAACCAGAGTTGTCACGATAGGAAAGATTAAAAAATGACTATAAGGAACCAACGATTCTCTCTTCTTAAACAACCTATATCCTCCACACTTAATCAACATTTGATAGATTATCCAACCCCGAGCAATCTTAGTTATTGGTGGGGCTTCGGTTCGTTAGCTGGTATTTGTTTAGTCATTCAGATAGTGACTGGCGTTTTTTTAGCTATGCATTACACACCTCATGTGGATCTAGCTTTCAACAGCGTAGAACACGTTATGAGAGATGTTGAAGGGGGCTGGTTGCTCCGTTATATGCATGCTAATGGGGCAAGTATGTTTCTCATTGTGGTTCACCTTCATATTTTTCGTGGTCTATATCATGCGAGTTATAGCAGTCCTAGGGAATTTGTTCGGTGTCTCGGAGTTTTAATCTTCCTATTAATGATTGTGACAGCTTTTACAGGATACGTACCACCTTGGGGTCAGATGAGCTTTTGGGGAGCTACAGTAATTACAAGCTTAGCTAGCGCCATACCTGTAGTAGGAGATACCATAGTGACTTGGCTTTGGGGTGGTTTCTCCGTGGACAATGCCACCTTAAATCGTTTTTTTAGTCTTCATCATTTACTCCCCTTTATTTTAGTAGGCGCCAGTCTTCTTCATCTGGCCGCATTGCATCAATATGGATCAAATAATCCATTGGGTGTACATTCAGAGATGGATCACATTTCTTTTTACCCTTATTTTTATGTAAAGGATCTAGTAGGTTGGGTAGCTTTTGCTATCTTTTTTTCCATTTGGATTTTTTATGCTCCTAATGTTTTGGGGCATCCCGACAATTATATACCTGCTAATCCGATGCCCACCCCGCCTCATATTGTGCCGGAATGGTATTTCCTACCGATCCATGCCATTCTTCGTAGTATACCTGACAAATCGGGAGGTGTAGCCGCAATAGCACCAGTTTTTATATGTCTGTTGGCTTTACCTTTTTTAAAAAGTATGTATGTGCGTAGTTCAAGTTTTCGCCCTATTCACCAAGGAATCTTTTGGTTGCTTTTGGCGGATCGCTTACTACTAGGTTGGATCGGATGTCAACCTGTGGAGGCACCATTTGTTACTATTGGACAAATTCCTCCTTTTGTTTTCTTCTTGTTCTTTGCCATAACGCCCATTCCGGGACGAGTTGGAAGAGGAATTCCTAATTCTTACACGGATGAGACTGATCACACCTGATCAGTTAAAAATTCTGACACCAATCATTTACGTATTACACCAAGAATGAATTGACAAGCGCATGAGTTTTCTAGTTGGCTATGTTGATATAGCTTAGATAGGGAAAAGAGATTATACACTAGGGTAGGGCTGAACTTTTAAATCCGGGGGCTTTGTTCCCGAAACTCCCTTACTCCTCCCCGTCCCTTACCCGTCCTTTGAAAGCCAGAACATTCGCATAGAGGAGTATCCTTATCACGCATGCTTTTCCACTTAAAATTACCTTCTATCCTCTTCTAGGGATTCCTACCCCTATATGGAGAGGGTAAATTAATATTCTAGTATTCTGCATTAATATTAATATGCTTCTGCGCCGGGAATCTCTCATAGCGGGAAGGCCCAGAGATCATAAAGAGATGGGAATGGAGGCATTCCAGCCCAACATACTCCGGTTCGGAATCCGATTCCGAGGAATGGGTCGAGAGAGATAGAGAGGGGAGTGGGATACAGGAAGTCTAGTGAAGAGTTGAGTGGCTATCCAACCATCAAATCGGCTATGGAGGGTGGTTTCAGCAAGCGGGTAAACCGATGATGACTAGTCAAAACTTAGGTAGGCCGATCGTCGCTCATCCCTCGTGTTCTCTCCATAAAAAAAGTTATTTATCCCTAAAATGGGCATGCAATCCCTATGGAAAAGCAAGTCTTCCAATTGGAGTCAATTTCCACCCTCTGATGATCCATTCCGCCCTTCCGTATAGCCAGAAAGGTATGGAATCTTATGGATGACTTTCCTTAGTTCTTCCACCCCCTCCTTTTTCACCTATCCCTTCACTCCCCAGGGATTCCGTACAGCTATACAATCACGGTTCATCGCCCTTATAAGTTATAAAAAAAACGGGGAGGGAATAGAAGCAAGCATTTTCCGTTCAGTCGGTAATGAATCAATACGCAGGGAAACTTTCTTCCATGGGAATGGCAAGTCTCGGACAGGCTCATATTGGTTGGGTATGCTCTTTCCATAGGCGACTTTCCAGAAGGTCTTCAAGGTGGATATGCTCTTCTTCTCAGAAAGACCATCGAAGAAGATTCATAATTCACACAAATTTTTGACGTCCGCTGTCCTCAAAAAGAGATTTATAGCGAGCAGCACTACTAAAAATTCCCGTTCGATAGGTTCCCATTTGGGGGCTTCAACCAGATTTCGCCCTATGCATCGGGAATTGGATCAAGATCAACTGCTTTTTAATTAAGCTTTTGGATTTGGCTCTCGGTCTGATCTTGATCTTCTTAAAAAGAGACATAGGAAAGAAAGAGGCCCTTGGACCTTATGAGTAAACCGGACGAAGAAGAAGGAGTTGACCCTTGACTCACTACCACTGCCGAAGTTACTGGAGAACTACGACAAAGGGGCTCAAATCCAGGTGGCTAAGTCTCCTTTAACAAACCGACTAGAAGACCACAGATTAAGTTTCACCCATTCCAGGCAAGAACCAAGCATTGCATTGAGATATACCAACTTCGCACGATCGATATAACAAGGATCCAGTCCTTACCATACCAAAAAGACGATCTTTCGACAGGATGAAATCAATGCTTGGTTCCTGCCGGTTTGACGAGAAAGAAAGACATTCCAGAAGCTTCACTTGTGCCTTAGTAGTCTCAAATAGGACCGAATCACAGAAAGAGAACGAGTGAGGCGCTCTCATTCCGATTCCTCTTCCTCTTCCGATTCCCAGCCGCTTGGCTGATAATGAGTAAACTAATTCTACCTTTACCGATTGGACTGGTCCAACATCTCCACAGGACGCCCTACCAGTTGGCGCAAGGGAATTTATTTAGGTAGGGTTTGGTTTGCCCTGGGACCAAAGAACAAAGGGAAGCTCAGCTCTCACTACCAGTGAATGATGAAATGCCTCGACTTAGAAACCACAGCCCTTCTGTCGAGAGGAAAAAAAAATCCTTTCAAGATAGAATCTTAGGGATGCCTTGCAGTTGAAGCCTCTGGGCTTAGCCCTACTATGACCGAAGAAGACGATTGACTAAAGAGAAAGAAAAAAAGACTCCATGAGCCAGTTACGCCACTTCAGCACAAGGTCTTGAATAGCCTATAAGAATTCTCACAAGGAGAGAGACGACCCTTCTCTTACGTGGGACACGGAGATGGAAGAATGGTAGGCCAGTCTTGACACAAATGGGCTTTCAGACTTAGCCAAGGAACGCCATGACAGATAAGCAGGGGGACGACCTCGAACATGAGAAAGACTGACGCCTGATTCAGGAAGGGACACGAGGGCTCCTCTTTATCACTGGAAGATCAATATATTCTACAGTAGAATCAGTCCCCAACCTTAAAAATTAAGGATCAAAAGTCTGCTTTCCAAAACCCACGCAAATGGAGGCCGATGACCTCAGACCCATAAAACATTAGGGGTAGAACAAAGCTTTTCCATATAGCAACTTGATCCATTATAGGAGGCCTCTGTCATTAGAAGAAGACCGCTTTGAAGCTAGGATAAATAAAAAATTACAAAACCAGCCATGCGGGTTGGCCACTAAAGAAGAAGGCCTCTACGAACGCTTTCACTAGAGAAAGAGATAAAGGCCCGTTCGGCTATGTAAAGAAGTCCCTGCAGGCTCCAACCCAGTCCTAACATTCTACAATAAGAGTGTCCGACGTCTAATAGAAGGGGCACCGCTTTCATTCCCATTCCTGCGCTTGGCGCTCTAAGATTACCAACACTGACCACTTAATAAGGAAGACCTACCACCCACACAGCAAACCAACGCTCCCCTTTTAGTTCGGAAAGAAGAAGGGTTGCGCCCGGGTGAAAGACTATGCCTTCAAGGGGGCCAAAACGACCAGAAAGAAGTCTGGAGCGGGAAGGCATGGTCACAAGACCCCGCTTTGAGCCATCGAAGACCAGATGATGGGTTACGAAGATATACAAGGAAAGAGACGCTCTGGAAGACCAGTCAGTGAATCAGGGGTTACGCCCAGAAAAGGCGGCCCTTTCATTTCTGAATGAAGCCTTACAGACGAACTATAGTATAGAAGGAGACAGGCTTCAGCCTTTCCAGAGTGAGCGCCATACATTACTATAGCACACACTGGTCGTCCCCCCAAAGAGAAAGGCTTTCGTCCTTCCTGAAGATTATGGGAACTTTCTTCTATTAATTGTTTTCGAAATGCCGATTTTCCTGCCATCCTCATTACTAGGCTAAGGCGATAAGGAAAAAGAGAGGGGCCCTTAGTATGTGGCAAAAAAGGCAAAGCAGCAGGAGAGACCTCGCTTTCATGGATGCTCCAGTTACCGAAGATCCAAAGCAAAGGAAGAGCGAGCTCTGATTCCCAGTTCGTTAATCAATAGAAGATACCCACGGGTTACTTCCTTTCTACACAGGAACGGAACGAGTTGACCAGACCATTCAACATCCGAAGGACTCTACCGCTGGAACGACCGATGCCTGATTCATTGCTCGCTCACGACCCCTTAAGTTAAGGTTTGCACTCACTCTCTTTCGATAGAAAAAGGAAGAAATTACCGGGAGTTGAAGAGTAAGAAAAGGGCTTCCCCTTAGACCTTTAGACCTGACCAAGAGAAGTAAAACCGGTAGCCAATAACTCAGAAAGAAAGGTCCCTCGAGCTTTATTAGTAGTTACACGAGTGCTCAGATCAATACCGAAACACATATGGAGTGCCTGGCCTTTAAGCCTGATAATGCCACAAAGAAAGAGCACAAGCAGGACTCCCTGCACCCGCGTGAGGGATGATTGAATCCATACCGAAGAGAATGGACGACTTGAAAAGGTCTCCATAGACAAAGAGACGATCTACACCGAAACAGAGAAAAGACATTAGGAGCACTCATTCCTTGTACCCGGGGAACTTATTCATAAGGAAGGGGATCTACACCAGAAAAGGAGTTTACGGCCGGTTCCCATATAGCAGACACTTTTACTCACATTGCTTTAGGCAGTACTCTTCTTACTAAAGACGAAGCCTTTAGCAGATCTCACATGCTGAAAGAGGGAGCAAATCCGTCACTGGACGAGGAAGGAAAGGCAAGGAAGATCTGTACAAGAAAGAAAGTAGATTAGAAAGCGTTAACAAGACTATCAGACCAAGAACAGAACTGCTGGAGGAAAAACTACCTAAGGCTTAAAATGACATAGAATAAGTGGAATCTCATGCAAACTGTGAGGGAGGTGGTTAACCGGTGCTTAGAGAACTACCTGGGATGCTTTACAAGCGATAGACCAAGGGAATGGGTACGTTGGTTACCATGGGCAGAATAGTGGTATTGTACCACTTATCATTCGGCAACCAAACAAAGACCGTTTGAAGTGGTATGTATATAGGCGCCCACCACCTCTAATTACGTCCTATACTCATTAGTCCAAAAAAATGCATCAAGTGGATTGTTACGCTAGGGATTGTGTTTTGCAACTTTGAAAGGCGAATTTGCATGGAGCTCAAAGGCCCGGACCATCTAAGTATGGGGAGTGCCACTACTGCTTTCATTGTAATACTATTGAGTGCAAGTCTCGCTCATTGAATTGCCGCGGTGCTGCCTTGAGAAAGGGAATCCCGACCTCCATCTCTATCCGTGCGAGAGTAAGAAGTAGAAATAGGAATCTTTGACGTAAACGTAATAAGTAGTGTAGTGAAATCTTTGTGATTGAAGTTCGCTTCTCCAGAGCTAGAATCGAAACTACCTACTGACCACCCCTGTAACTAACCGAAGCAACCCCCGGAGCAGAACGAAAAGTCCTTTCCTCTTCAAGCTAAAGTAAAGCGTCAGCCCCCTACTCTATTTAACGAACCAGGGAAAGGAAAGAGGAGAATCAGGGTTAGCGCAAGTGATCGAATGAGGAATAAAAATTCTGAGATTCGCCATGGGCCAAAAGAAAGGATTCGCCTTGCCCTCGAAACCTGAAGCTTGGACCTTCGGGAGTGTCTTAAGTGGGAGAGTCTTGGGTCCCGCCAGTTCACTTCCTTGAATTCTGAGCCTACCAATAGCGGGATAAAATTAAAGGAATAAATGCAAATGCCAGGCATAGCCGGAACTCTTTCGTAGGCTGCTCTCGAGGCAGTGGCTTGAAAATCTCCCGCAGTCACCCACCATGATCGGAGCTGAGATTCTTCATACTAGCTTGGTTAGGTCAATATCTGTACCATCGCTTCTATTTGATGTAATATAGTATAGAGATCGGCTGAAGGTGAATAGGGTGAGATCCATTAAAGTAGATGCAGCTTCCCTGGCTTGCTCACTGAGGTGGTCTACTAGCTGCCTGACTTCTGCGGAAGAACTTGCCGGTTCCCCGATTTGCGTTGCCTCCGCCAAAATTGCAGCTGTAACTCAGGGATG